CAGAATGTGTTCACCGCGAGGTGGTATACCAAGGAGGGACAAGAGAGAGAGAGAGAGAGAGAGAGAGAGAGAGAGAGAGAGAGAGAGAGAGAGAGAGAGAGAGAGAGAGAGAGAGAGAGAGAGAGAGAGAGAGAGAGAGAGAGAGAGACCAGAGAGAGAGAGACCAGAGAGAAGGGAGGTGGATGCGACACAGATAAGCGAGAGTAACGCGAGAAGGGGCTCGCAAGACAAGAGATAAAGACGCAAAGAGAGGTACAGAGAAAGAGAGCTAAAGGAGGAGGAAGACAAGGAAGGAAGCGTAAAGATGACAGAAAGAAAAAGACAGAGAAAAGGCATAACTTAAAGTAAATAGAATTTAGTTTTCTATATTGTGTTTCAAAGAGAAATATGAAAGAAGGAGGGAAGTAGTGAAGGAAAAAAAGAAGGACAAGGATGGAGGAATGGTAGGCAGTAGGGAGGAAGGGAAAATTGGAGGTAAATAGGGAGGGAGGCGTGTGTGGAAAGGGAGATATGGGATGGAGAGGGATAGGGAGAAGAATAGTGAGAGAGGGGAAAGTCAGAGACCGATTTCTTGACAATTTTATAAAGTGGCGCCAGAAAGGTGGCGAGGACGGAGCCATATTTTTATTTCCCTTTTGATGTGGGGGAATATTGGACCGTTCAGGCCACTCACTGAGTTCCGGGGACCACAGGGACCACTTTCAGTGTTCCAGGGACCACAGGGACCACTTTCAGTGTTCCAGGGACCACAGGGACCACTTTCAGTGTTCCAGGGACCACCTTCAGTGTTCCAGTGACCACTTTCAGTGTTCCAGGGACCACTTTCAGTGTTCCAGCGACCACTTTCAGTGTTCTAGCGACCACTTTCAGTGTTCCAGGGACCAACTTCAGTGTTCCAGGGACCACTTTCAGTGTTCCAGCGACCACTTTCAGTGTTCCAGGGACCACTTTCAGTGTTCCAGGGACCACCTTCAGTGTTCCAGCGACCACTTTCAGTGTTCCAGGGACCACTTTCAGTGTTCCAGCGACCACTTTCAGTGTTCCAGCGACCACTTTCAGTGTTCCAGTGACCACTTTCAGTGTTCCAGGGACCACCTTCAGTGTTCCAGTGACCACTTTCAGTGTTCCAGGGACCACCTTCAGTGTTCCAGTGACCACTTTCAGTGTTCCAGCGACCACTTTCAGTGTTCCAGTGACCACTTTCAGTGTTCCAGCGACCACTTTCAGTGTTCCAGGGACCACCTTCAGTGTTCCAGCGACCACTTTCAGTGTTCCAGCGACCACTTTCAGCGTTCCAGGGACCACTGGAAGCTATGAAAGATGGTTGTACAAGTCAAGATAATCTAAGATTGTGTAGACGGAGATAATCAACAGGGTTGTGAAGGGAGGTTGAGCAATCCAGGATGGTCGAGGCTCCCTAGACGGGCTAGTCCAACCAGGATGGGTGACTACACTATCACTGCGCACTATCACGACTAAATATCACCACGAACTATCACGATTCACTATCACCATACAATATCACGACTCACTCTCACCACGAACTATTACGACTCACTATCACTATACATTACCACGACTCACTCTCACCACACACTATCACCATACAATCATCACTCACTATCACTAAAATTTAGTGGGCCAGCCATAGGATTAAGGCCCATTCAGGAATATCCCTGGGAAAAAACTATTCACAATCAGCACTCACTCTCTCTTTACACAATCAGCACTAACTGTCACATTACTACTCACTATCAATACGCATACTTACCACTCACTATCAATACACACAATCACCACTCGATCACTTATCACAACTTACAATCACCATTCCCTATAACCATACACAATCACCCATATCACTACAAACAATCATCATTATCGCTACCCACTTACCATTCACTATCACCATACAAAATCACCACACACTATTACAATTCACTATCACCACCACACACAATAATCACTTACAATCACCACACACAACTCACTATCACCTCACCACTCTCGCCAAACAATCACCATTCATTATAAACACCCACAATCACCACTCACTATTACCACACAATCACCGCTCATTATAACCACACGCAATCACCACAATCACACTCACTATCACCACACAATCACTACTCACTATCGCCACAAACAATCACCAATCCCTATCATCATTCACTATAATCACACAATCACCTCTCACTATCGCCACACAATCCCCACTATCACCATAAACAATCACCACTCACTATAACCACAATCACCACTCACTATCACCACTCCCTATCATCATTCACTATAACCACACAATCATCACTCACTTTCGCCACACAATCCCCACTATCACCATAAACAATCACCACTCACTATAACCACAATCACCACTCCCTATCATTCACTATAACCACACAATCATCACTCACTATCGCCACACAATCCCCACTATCACCATAAACAATCACCACTCACTATCACCACACAATCACCGCTCACTATCACTTAC